CCCCCCGCCCAGGACACGGCTGAGCCGGTGACATAGCCTGTTGGGTGGCCCTGCAGTGCCGTAGGTCTCCAGGGCATGGCACGGCGCAGGTCCCTGGTCAGGGTTGGTGCCGGGGACCACCCAGCTCGGCTGCCCATGTCCCTGCTGTCCATGATGGCTTTCAGCTCAGCACGGCGCTGCGGTTGAGGCTGGAAAGTGGCAGCGAGGGGAGTGAGGAGGAGGATGGGGGCTCCGCTTCTGCGCCGGAGCCGGGGCATGCCGGTGGGTCCCCAGCATGGCAGTGCGGGTGGGAAGGGGCATCCCTGGTGCAGAGGCCAGGCAGGGCAGGTGTCGTGGGGCACTGGCGGGAGCAGAGCTGTGGTGCCAGGGCAGTGGTGGAGCAGCAGTGGCGTGGCGACACCAGCGAGGCCGTGCTGGGGAGGCTGGAGGCGCTGGAGGCCGACGTTCGCTTCCTCTGCACCGAGCTGGGTGCTGAGAAGCTGCTGTGGAGCAGCCGGTTCCTGGAGCTGCTGCAGGAGCAGCAAGGCCTGCGCCAACGGGTGAGTCCCCCATGGGGCCCCCAGCCCCCTCGGTCCCCTCTGGTACCCCGGACCCTCACACCCTGCCCCAGCTGCAGGAACGCCCGTGGCGGTGGGACAGCGGCGACAGCCCTGAGCTGCCAGGGGAAGCAGAGGACCAAAGTGCCAGTGGGAGCGAGAGACAGAGCCCGGCAGGTAGCGGCTGGGGCCTTGGGGTGACGGGCAGCCAGTGGTCAGGGAGGGGGACGACCTGCCACCTGCAGCCAGACCTGGGACGGGGCAACATGCTGAGCTCGGCCAGCGAGCAGCATGGGGAACCCACCAGCTCCCACCTGGGCACTGGGCAGCACTGGTGGGCACTGGGCTGCCGTGGGCTGTACTTGGGAAGAGAGGGTGCTGGGGAAGGGTCGGGGTGCTGGCTGCCCGACCCCAGGGGAGGTGGCCCAGCCCTGGCTGGACCTCGCAGGAGGAAGCAACAGCAGCGGGGGGGCTCCACGGGGGCAGCTCCCGGCCCCAGGCCTGCACAGAGCAGCTCCCCAGGGTCTGCTGCCACCCCTGACCTGCCCCAGCACCAGGTCGTGGCCCCGTGCAGCTCCCAGTCCTCTGCACCAGTGACCAGTCACCGCCGGGAGCCCGGCAAAGTGCGGGCCACGGCTTCCCCTCTCACCTTTTTGCTTTGTTAAAGGACACCGGTGGATGGAGCCACCCTGGCAGCCGGCCCCGTGCCCAGGCAGCCTTCTGAGGCCCACAGCTCCGTGACAGGCAGAAAATGTAAGTGAAGGTGTAAGCGGGGTGTGGGCGAGACGGGAAGGAGCCGCATGTCCCTCCCTGCCCAGGCACCGCAGGACACAGGCCAGGACAGCGCAGTCCCGGTTGCATTCTCGTGTCCCTTTATGTGCCTCCATCCCTCAGTGCCAGCCAGGCCCTGCCCTGTCCTGCCCAGCCCTGCCCGTTCAGCAGAACTGCAGCTATTTCCCAGAAGCAAGAACCAGCCAGGAGGCAGATGAGGGCAGGCCGCTGCCTCCTGCGCTGCCCAGGGCAGGTCACAGCCACCCCCTGCCAGGGCCACCCCAGGAGCTGACTGCGCCCTGGGCAGGTTGTCTCCAGCAAGGAGCAGCTTCCTGATCCATTGCAACGTGTTGGGAGCTTCCAGAAGTGAGGAGTAAGGTCACTGCCAGCTCCCGGTCACCTTGCACAGGCTGGATGGATTGCAAAACCCAGTGCTGCCCCATTTCACTTCCTCGTTGGCCAGCTAAGTCCCCTCCATCAGCTGCTCCTCACACATGTTGCAACTCTTGGATGGCTCCTTGTGACAGCACTGGGGGGGAACCCACTCTCCTGGGGTGGCCAAGGGGCTGCCGCCCCAGGAGAATGGCTCAGCCAGGGATGCTGCGCCATGGGAGCACCAGCCGTGAGCAGAGCAGGCTCCGAGCTGCACCAACAGCACCTGAGGAAACCCACCTCTGCCCCGCGAAGTGCGGTGTTGGGTCAGCCCCCAGCCCAGCAAAGGGAGAGGAAGCGGCTGGGGGGGGCTGGAGGAGGGCGCTGAGCCTCCCATCCCGGGCAGGCAGATCCAGCACCACCACAGGCCCCCACGGGTGGCAGGATCAGGCTCAGGCTCCTGCATGAGGCGCAGGATTGAAGGGCCGCCCTGCACCCAAGCCCTGGTTGTGCCTCGGGGGCTACGTGCTGCTCCCCCCCGCCCTGGGCTGCCGGCGCTGCTCTGCTGTTGTAAAATACAGGCGGCCACTTTCCACTTGGGTGTGTTTGCTTGGTCTTTCCACTGCGCAGGCTGGGAGAGCTGTGCCACCACCGCACTGAAAAGACCCCGGTCCCGCAGCTCTTCAGGGACGGGGTGCCAAGCTGAGCTCTTGCTGCAGCAGAGAGGGGACGGGTCCCCACCCCGCGGCAGCCGAGCGGTGATTCAGTCAGGGAAGTGTGCACTGCGAACGTGAACCGCGCTGCTGAGGCGAGCGTGCGGCAGCAGCACTTCCCGCTCGGGAGATAATCCTGCCTTGTGAGAAGGCCATGCAAACCAGCCGCTCCTTGCCAAGAGATGGGCAAACCCTTTTCATTGCTGTTCCCACTGCTCAAAACATGTCTCGCCAGCCCTGTGTGCACAGCCCTTCCCTGCAGGCCCCGGCACTGCACTGTCTGCCACCAGCAGCTGCCTACACCCTCAGCAGTGGTGACCCCCTAAGTGTCTGGCTCTTAAGAACACCCAGCAAGTGCCAGGTAAAGTGGGAATGAAGCCACTCACTGGCACATGGCCTTTTGCAAAAGCTGCGGCTGCCCCTGAGCCACTACTACAAGAGAATCTGCCCTCTGCCATGGGCAGCACAAGGCTCCTGCTGTCACTGCCTGCACCATCACTTCTCCACCCAAAGGGCTGTCAGGCCCTGGTCCAGGCTGCCCAGGGCAGGGGCTGAGTCCCCATCCCTGGGGGTATTTAAAAGCCGGGGAGATGTGGTGCTTGGGGACATGGGTCAGTGGTGGCCTTGGCAGTGGCTGCGTTAGCAGTTAGACTTGATGATCTTAAAGGTCTTTTCCAACCTAAATGCTTCTATCATTCTATTCTATAATTCTATGACCTACAGGCACAGCTTGCTGGGAGCCCGGCAATGCCACCAAGCCCCAGCCTGCACATTAGGCAGGGAACAAACTGCGGAACCAGTCTGTGCCCACAACCCGCTCCCTGCTTCCCAGGCAGGGCAGATGCCCTGATCCACCACGCAGGCAGGCATCTTCCTCTTTCTCCTGCCTCCTCTCCAGCTGGTGCTCACTATGGGCTGCCATTTGCACTTGGGGTGAGTGCAAAGAGCCCCCCATGGCACACAACTGGGGGTCAGCCAGTGACCCTACTCCTCCCAGTCCTGCAGCCCTGAGAGCTGGCCTCCAGCACGAAGGCTTTTATGGGAATACTTTCATTCTGGTTTCGTTGCTGGCAAGATGCTTGTCTGATGCTGCTTGGGCTCTAACCCTGCAATGCTGTGGAACGGCTGCCATGACCCTGGGCCTGCTGCCATCCCCAGGATGGGGACACCTGGACACCATCGCCACAGCCCTGACGGCAGCCTCCGTGCCTGCCCCGGGGAGCTGGCCAGGTGCAGGGACTGAGGACAGGCTCCTACAGCGAGCAGGGATCCTTCCTCCCAACGTGCCCATGCAACAGCCCGCACCATCAGGGAACTGACGCAAAGCAAATAGCAGCAGCTTGACTCATCCTGCACCAACCTGGCTCCTGCATGGTGTTTGAGGTGGGACAGCCCCATGCTTCTTCAAAATACCAAAGTAAATCAGGTCCTGTGAACGAGCCACTCCTGCTGCAGCAAAACCCCAGCCCCAAACTGGCCATCCCCGCTCCTGCAGGAATCACCACAGCATCCACGCAGAGACACCTCCGGAGCACCGGCGGCCTCAGACAGCAGCTTACAGCGATGCGACAGGGTCCCGGCCCTGCTGCAGCCACGGCTCGGCTCTCCAGAGGCAATCCACAGGGCTGTGCTGGAAATCCCCTGCCAGCCCCGCTCTGCCAGCGGCTCAGCGACTCTGCCATGGCCAGGGTTCAGGAGGTGGAGGGGGAAATCAAGCAGCATTAGCTACGTTCACCAACATTTCCTCACCACCGGAGCAGCCCCCCGCGGGTGGGCAGCCCCCGCTGCAGCGCTCTCACCACGCCACCTCCGAGTGAGGCAATAGCTGCCTTGCCGGCTGCGGAAACCTTTCCCCTGGGCCAACAAGCCATGCAAATCCTCCTGACCTATTGCTCAACCAGACGCTGTATTAACTCCAAAACATTTGTGCAATGCGGGCCTTTGGGGGCGCGGGGGAGACACGCCAGGCCACAGAGCAGCTCAGGGCTGCTTCTTGTCCGTGGCTTGGCCAGGAGGGCTGAGCTGACTGCTGCCACCCCAATGGCTGCAGCAAGGGGTTTAGCTTTGCTCGGGCCAGTCTGCTCAAGGAGAAACTAAAACAGCAAGAAAGCACTTCTGCTGCTTCTCCTGCAACTCCCTGAGGGAAAACTTTCCACAGGCAAACCCCGGCCTTAGCAAGCCCAGGGGTATTCAGGGCCTAAACCCCAAGGCACCACAGAAGGCTGGTGACAGGCAAACTGAAAAATGCGTGGCTGGAGGGTGAGCAGTGCCGGGTGCCTGCACAGGAGCACCTGCACAGGAGCACCGCCATCCCCAGCACACCACCAGCCTCCCCGTCCCCACCTGCTTTCCTTCCCTCTGGCAGCACCCAGACCCCCTCCAGCTGCTGTACCTTTTTGTTCGCTTCGGTGCAACACGTGCTCCGAGCAGTTACTCGCTTCCTGCATTTCTTTCTTACAGCAAGGCTGTACCCCAAACTGCCTCTGAATCAGGCAGCGCAGAGCTGCTGCCGTGCTCGGGCCACCTCTTCCTCTTCCTGTCTGCAGGGAGAGAAACAGCCCTGCAGCCTCCGAGCTGGGCGAAAGCAGCGGTTTGACACTGAACCTGCTTCCTTGTAAGGTGGCCTGCCCCAGATGGGTGGCATGGCCACAGCCCCCACGTGACACCGCACACGCGTGTGCTTCCATTATGCAGCAGCCCTTTTCCCACGGTCCGTACAGGAGGCCTGGGTCAGATTCCTGCCTCTGGAAACGCCTTAAAATGTTCAGAGTTGAGCTAGCCACATCCTGGAAATCCCCCGATGGGAGGGAACCAGATGGGTTCAAATGAAAGTTCAGCGAGCAAGAAGGGCACAAGGCAGCTGGTGAGCAAGCCCCAGAGAGCAGGCTGGGGCCCCGCGGGCACCCCGTGCCTGATCCCCGCTGGGCTGGGAGCAGGGGGCTGCAGCCACCACCCAGGGCCCCGGGTCACCACCCGGCCCAGGGGAAGGAGAGGCAGGAATCCAGCAGCCTCTACCCTGAACTCTGCCACAGCGCTGCTTCCCATTTCTTGCTTCCCTCTTTTGAGTATTGATTTAACAAAACAAAACCCAAAGTCAAGATATTCTGCAGCACTGACTTCTGAAGGAGGGCTCTCCCCTGCCTGGCCGTCCTTTTGTTCTGCAGCAGATGATATTTATTACCTTTTCCATCTATTTCTAGCACAACTGGGAAGGCAAAGAGGAGACTGTTCTCCTCTACCCCCAAAACACACCATTGGACCCCTCATTCCTCTCTGCAAGCACCCCCACTCAGCCTCCTCCCTCTCACACCAAAGGAGTTTTTCCTACCCAGGCCCACCCTCCTTGGCTCCCTTGACCTTGCCTTGGGCTGCTGAGGATGCAGCCACAGCCACCCCCCGCCCCCCCGCCGAGAGCAGGCACCTGGCTCCAGCAGGGAACAGCGCAGGCGGCAAGGGAGAACGACTGGGCCACTGCTGGGGGGTGAAAGATGGCACGCTTGATTCGGAAGGAAAGAGCTAGCGATGGATGGGCTCACCAGGCTTGTTTTGCAGAGCTCACAGCCGTTCAGCCAGCTCCAGTCAGCCCCGCTGTCCAACGGCAACAGCCTTGGGTCATCTCAGCAGTTCTTCTCTTTCCCATGGGTGTGCCCTGACACTTCTCAGGACCCTTCTGCACCCCAGCTCAGCCTGGGAGCTCCCCCTTTCAAGGAGAATGGCAGCGATTCCTCACCCTGTCAGGGTGGGAAGAGCTGCTCGGAGAGGAGCCAGCCTCCTGCAGAGCTTGGCACGAGGCTTTGCCAACTGCACGAGGCCGACAGGACGAAGGCAGGGCAACCCCGCTGAACTTTCAGCAGGGTGCCTGCGTGTGACCCTCAACTCAGTAACCTGACAAGAAAATCTAACCT